TTTCCGCACACGCCAGCCCCCCCCCCCACCCCTATCAGACCATACCATCGGGGGGGGGGGCTGGGAACGCCAGATGCCTGACCATATATGTCTATATATCTGTATATATATACATATACCTATGTACACATATATATATATATATATATATATCTATCTCTCTCTCTCTCTATATATATATATAACACCTCACCGCAAAAGCCTGCCTCGAAGCCTGTTCTTGTGCTGTCGAGACGGCGTGACGATTCCACTCCGAACGAAAAGTCTTGCATTGCGTACTATTCTTTGTCTACGACGACACAACGCCCTTCGAGCCAAGACAGTACCACGAACTATTGTCTAATGTCCTCTGTATGCTACGCTATTAAACGGCGGGCTCCTCCTGATGTTCCTGTTTTGAACCGTGATCTATAGGGTATTTTCAGTTATTGTCCGCGGTATCCTAAAAGCTATTCCAGAGGATATTCTATGAGGTATGTTTGAGGTGTGCGAAGGATATATTACATAGGCATCTTCTGTAAGGAGGGTATTTTGTAAGGTAGTTGTAAGGATATTCTTCTTGGTTCCTGATGTCTTCATAGGAAGCTCTTTCCCAAAAGCTGCAATCCAACTGGAAGTTCTCAGATGTTGGGCTCCGGCTGGTTTTCCATATGTCGAATCCTTATCTACAGGTACTTTTTAGGGTATTCTATAAAGGACCCTAACGGATATCCTAAAAGGTACTGTAAAAGTTTTCTATATGGCATACACAAGTTATACATGATGTATCAAATAGAGGCGGTCTTCTTCAAAGTATTCTACAGGGCATTACAGGTGGTGTTCTATAAGGTGTGTGTGTGTGTGTCGGGTCAATTGGTGGAATTGTATTAACATAGTTTATGAGGTAGTTTAAACGGTATTCTATAGGGTATGTACAGCGTGTATTTCATGAGAGGTCTGTTCTCTGTATCTATCCGTTAGTAGATAGGCATCGATTTTCAAGGAGTTCCTAAATAATTACTAGACTCCGCATGTCCCTCATATGAATCATGAAACCCTTACCACATAAGTACTACTGAGGAATTCTCAGAGCATCTTGGGTATACAAGGTATACAGGGAATGTCGGAGTATTCTAGAAGGTATTGCCGTAGTTTATAAATTTCTTTTTAAAGTTTGTAGAATGGGTATTCTGTAAGGTATTTATTCTACATGCTATTCTCCTGTCTACTTTTTTTTCATAGATGTCTGTTGCTAAATAAGCTGCAAGAAACTTGGGCTGCTTCTGATTTGTCTTATATAAATCCTGATCTATAGGGTTTCTGTCGGGTATCCCCAAGGGGATTTTCAAGGGTGTGCATAAGGTATACGGGGAGTATCATGTATAGGGTTCTTACTAAGACATTTTAGACAGTATTCCAGACGGTATTCTACAAGGCTTACATGGGGCATATAGCAGAAAAGCAGACTATTCTATGGGGCATTTTTTTGGGTTTTATAGAGTATCCCAAAACGTATTCTATCGGGTGTATATAGGAAAGAATTCTATAAGGTATTGTATAGACCAAAGGGTAGTCCATAAGGTATATACAAGGTATATATACCTTGTGAACTCTATATGGTGCGACCTACGCTATTTTCTGTGAAACTCTGGAAGGTATATAGGGGGTTGTTCTATTATGTACTTTAAGAGATATTCCTTTACAAGTTGGTTCCTGATTTCCATCATAGGAACCCGTTACTCAATAAGCTACAGCTCAACTGGAAATTCGCAAAGCTTGGGCCCCGACTGATGTTCCATATTTGAAATCTTATCTGTGAAGTAATCTGTAAAGTATTCTATAAAGGAGTCCAAGAAGTATCCTATAAAGTTTTTGTTAAGGTGTATAGTGACAGGCTGTATCATACATGGTGAGCTCGATGTTTGCCAGGAAGGGGCGCGCCGACATGATCACAAGGACCTGGCGGAGTTAGGAGTACAGCAGCACTTGCTTTTGATCAGCTGCGGCTTGGGGTATCAGACATTTTGTCATACAACCACTCCGTCATGCAAAGCAATCCGTGCCCGCATTCGATATCGAAGATGATAGCCAGTAAAAGTTTTGGTTCCCACCGTCCTGTCTGCGTTAAAACCAGCATGAAAACATCAAAGCTTGATGCAACCAGGCCCGTGGAAGCAAAAACCAAGATGCCGAGGACTCTTGAAGTCTTGAATGTTGGATCTTGGTTCCGCAGGCCCGGCTGCATCGATACCGAAAAATACAAAAATGAAAAATTGAAAAAGATCAAATTTGATTGTTTAGATGAATTGAACAGTGAACATCGAAGATCCTGGGAAAAGTTTCTGTGGGATCTTCGATGTTCGATTTCAAAGCAGCGAAAAAATTAAGTTTGATTTTTTTGATTATCTATCTGGAGCCCCTCCGCGGCGTACCTTTCTGTTTTTATATGTTGTATATATATATATATATATGTATGGTCAGGCATCTGGCGTTCCCAGCCCCCCCGCAACGGTATGGTCTGGTACGGGGTGGGGGGGGAGGGGGTGGGCTGGCGTGTGCGGTTAATTGTGGGGGCCGTTGGCTGCAGCTGGCGGGCGTCACAGACAAGGCCAGCATCGTACGCAAGCCCGACGCAAGCCATAAATCCTACAACGTAGCGTAGTAATGCCTGCTCCTGCTCCTACTAACCTTAACCTAAACCTCAAACCCTTCATTTGACCCTAAACCCTGCCTAGATGCAGGCTCTAAGCATAAAGCAGAACATAAACTGTCAACCCTGACGAGCCAACACACCAAACCCTCCTTAAACCCTTGTCGACGCGAAGCCTGATACTTTTTAACCCAAAACCCTAAACCCAAACTCAAAAGCGTAAGGTAGACCCAAAACCCCAACACCCCCACAACCACACCACAGGGGGAAGAGGGAACCTATATACGTTCCATCCCACGGGAGGGTGGGGGCATCCTGAACCATAGAGCATGGAGAGGGGGGAGGGGGGGGCCGCGGAGCGCGTGATCATACATGTATATATAGATATATACATATATATGTGTGTGTATGAAGGCTGAGAGTACAAAACCAACAGCCAAGACTTCACCTTCTTGTCACTTGTAACCTTGCTTCGCGATCATTCAGCCATGCAAGAGGCAAAAATATATATGTATATATATATATATAAATATGTATATGTATATGTATATGTATATGTATGTATGCATGTATGTAGATCGGCAGATCGATCAATCGATCGATAGATAGATGTACACACGGCATGGGCATATCGAAATCTATATCCATATTTCTATCTGTTTCTATGTCTATATATGTATATGCACATTGTATATGTCTTGTATATGTATATATAAATATACATATATATATATATATATATATTTATATTTACATATTTATATTTATATTGGTATCTGTGTTTTGTCAGCTTCATCTCTTTCCATATCCATGCAGCACCAAAATGCTCCAGAGTATGGGCATGGGAGCATACTGGTGCGGTATTCGAAGCTTTCCATATAACCCGCCAGAGCTTGCAGCAGTTCTCGAGTGGCTCTAACCCCAACGTGGCGTGCATCCGATCCAGTCCTGAGTCTATATTTCCGTCAATGGAAGCTGCAGTATGATGCTGACCCCATGCATTGCGACATCAAGGACTAGCACGCATGGCGGAGAAGATGGCATGTGGCCTTGGTATTCCAACCGGAACTTCATACCGTGGCTACAGTCTGGATGAGGCCAGATTGCTAGGAATAGGCATGGACTTCCCAGTGAGGAGCGCTATGCGTGTGCCCTTGTGGTAGTATGCCTGGCAGAGGGCCTCTATCTTTGCAGCGTCGTTGCCACCATCACCTCGGGACCTGCAACCTTTGTCAGGTGCTCCTGCGTTGTGAAGAAGCCTTGTGTCTCCGACCAGGGGCATGAACCGCGGCCCCACCACTGTCTTTCTCTCATGCCGTGCGGCGCCGTCGTATGACTGAGGATCAGTGAGCATACATCCGGAAAGTGATGGTGCGAAGCACCGTGCACCAAAGCGTGCAGCTGTTGTTGTTACTTGTGCCATGAACCCTGTGGCGTTGTTTATGCCAGCACCGAAGCCTCATGCATACGAGCCTCCGACGCATCACGCACTGCTCTTTTCCGTGATTGTTATGGGTTTCTGGATTTGGGACAGAGCCTTTGCCATGCCAGTGTCTAGTCTCGTGCTTGTCGGAGCAATGGGGGCTTTCGAGGGCCTAAAGCAAGCGTAGACGCCCTGTTTCTTTGCTACTCAGTTGCAGGAAAAGGAGTGCCACCCGCATGGGGGCAAATGGTCAGGATCTGCGCCCACGATGTCACAAGCCGCGCCAGGCTTCAAAACTGGTCCAATACCTTACCGAAAGAAGCTGGCGGCCTCGAGGGAAGGCCTAGTGAGGCGCTTTACAGCACGTTCGCAGACCCAAAGGCTGCTACAAAGCCGAGCAAAACCTTGCCCATCCCCGTGCCGATCTTACTCCTTTCATGGCGATTGCCACTGCCAAATCGAAAGTGCAAGTGCAAAGGCATCTGCTGCAGCATGCAGCCTCCGAAGGCCCTGTGTGCGTGCAGCGCTGGGCTGACAGCTCTTGAGCCTTACGAGGCTTCAAGGATTTCTCTAGCTCTGAAGCGGTCCGGCGGCGGAATTCTGAGAGGGCCAAACCAAGCAGGCGTCTGTCTTGGGGGAGTCGAACTGATCTCCTTGCGCTTGAGGCTGCATCATGCTGCTTCGTGTGGATCTGTAGTGGGACCCCGAGTTGCAGAGATGAGCAGTTCTCCGAGTCGGACTCTGCAAGGCCTCGGTGCAAGCTCTGCTGGAAACCTTGTCCTCCGAAGACTGGCCGCTGGACGCAACAGAATGAGTTGCTGTCGCTGTCGGAGTTCGGCTCTCACAGCGGCTGAGGTGCCACGCCTGCGACTCTGCAGGCACCGGGACATTTTGCAAACTCTTGCAAGGGCTCTCCACTTCACTAGCTGCGAGGCACCAGCGTCCTCCATGCCGCTGTCACTGGTGGTGCCTGTCTGTGAGAGAAGCGGATGCAGGGGGGACGTTGGCGCCCATGAAAGTCATAGCAGCATGTGTTCCAGTGAGGTCACCTGCATATCGCAAATGCGCTGGGGGCCCAATGCCGAAGCCGAAGCTGAGGATCGACTGCACGGCAAGACTGGACATGTGCACGACTGCGCGAGCTGCTGAATGGGGCCTGCAAAGGGAATCTAAGACATGCAGATGTCGGGAGCCTCATGGATTGTCAGGGAGTGGGCTTGTAATTGTAATGTGGAAACGAGGTGCAAAGTAGCCTGCGCTTGTGCCATGGAGAAGCGCCCTGCCAATTCTTGGGGCTTGAGACGCTGCGCCGGAGCCTCTGAGGGATGTCTTCCCGGTTCACCAGCCGACAGGCCCCGTTACGTGCGACACTGCTTGGACATGAACATGAAAATTCACGTTGTGGCCCGAGGCGTTGTTGGTGGCTGCCGGTGGTGGTTGGACCTCCAGGAACAATGGCCTCACATTGGCTTGCCAGCTGTGAGTCACGTGTGCATCGCCTTGATATCACGGCTTAGCGGCAGGGCCCTCCTGTCGGACCCTTCTGGACAGAGAGCACTGGGGCAGCGACTGCGCGGACGCTGGGTCACAAGTGACCGCTGCAGCAACCTTGAAAAAGCGTGTCTGGGCAGGAAGTGGAAGGGCTTCCCGCCACACTCCGATATATAGGCTGTGGCAACATCGAAATGCATGGCTTACAAGAAGCTTCCCGTCAGCCGAGACATCTTCGTTTAATTGGTTGCGCTCTGCGGCATGCGAGGCACAGAGACGGGCTGTTCCAGGTTCGAGACCGCTTTGATGCTGGTGCTGAACTTGGGGAAGAAGAGATGTCCTGGACTAGGCGAGGCAAGAGCTCAAGAGCGCCAAAGGCAGTCGATAGCTGGCCCTTGCTGGCACTTCTGAATTGTCAGGGAGTACGGCGAAAGCGGCTCGTTCCCATTTTGGAGCTTGGGCCAGCCGAAAGCAGAGATCCGCAGACTGGCGGCTGCACTTGAGGACATGAGCCTATGGGGTTGGCTCGTGGTGCAGCTGAGAATCCTTTGAGGAGGCTTCCGGGGATGGCTTGGCGGCAGTTGTCCTCGGCTGCGGTCTCGGGCTGGATGCCCCGAGCTTAGGCCTTGGCCTTAGGCCTCAGGCCAAGGACCTCGTCACGCTGGACTCCGACAGCTATTTCGGTCGGTCCTGAGGTCTCTTACTTGGCAAAAGCCGGCAAGACAAGCTCTCTGACCGCGGTGGCGGGGGTGGACTTTGCCTGGCCTGCCATCCAGGCTTGACGTGAATGTTGGTTTGGTTTAAAAGGAGGTGTCCCGGTGTCAGGCAGCCAGGAGGCAGCACGGTGGTCACACCGGGCAGGCCGCCGGCTGCTTCTTCCATCACTTCGATGTCTGCGAGCTCCCGGCCCCGACGGTGCCATTGGACGCTCGGACTTATGAGCACAGAGCTTTCCGCTCATAGCCTCGTGCGAAAGCGAGGACCTCATCATTGACAACACGGTCTTTCAAAATGTGCACAGGAGCGCGCCTTGTGCGAGACGTCCTTTCGAAGAATCAACCCGAGAGGAGTGGCCGATTCGAAGCATATTTGGAGAGTTTATGCCGAATTTCAACGCCAGGTGTGCCCCTCAGTGCGACAGCGTTGGTCTCTTGGTGGTCTTAGTGCTTGCCATGCACGCGAGGCCACACGCGCCGACCTCAGTGTCGGTTCTCGTTTGTCTCGTGGTGGCTAGCAACCGGCAGCCAGGGTGCTTCATCTGAACCTCATGAGTCGTGAAGGGATGGAGGCGCGAGAAGAGCTTCTCGGCCCTGTGCAAGATCCCAATTCCGTGGAAGCTGTGGCCGCGACTTTGCACCCTACCGTATTTGCACCCAGGTTTGCCGAGAGCATGGAGCTGCCCGGACAAAAAACCAAGCTGTTGTTGAATGTGAGCTTTTAAAGAGTCCTGAAAGATTCTTGATCGGCTTGTGTGGAAGTCGGAACCATCTCAGGTATCTGAACTTGCCCCTGCTTCGCCGAAAAGACATTACCACTGCATTGAAGCCCGAGCTATGGGAGATTTGGGAGGTTCGCGAGGCAACACCTGCACCATGCTGCTTGCGCTTGCACTCTCTTGAGTTTGCGTGCGGCAGGGTCAGTATGACTTGAAGCCAGAGGGGGCTGGCTTCGAGTGCAGCTTGCCTGCATTGTTTGGGTGCCTTTCTGCAGCTGAAAACTTGCACATGTCCTGGGAATGGCTTCGGATGCCGGAAAGGCCAGGTTTGAACGTCGTGGTACTTCATAAGAGGTTGTGCCTTTGGATAGGGCTTGCAGATTAATGGGGTCTCGAGCTCTGCTTGAAATCGGTCTTTCTCAGTGTGGCTTAACGGTTTAACGACGAGCCAGCATATCCAGCCTGCTGGACACGAAGACTGAGACACATTCTCAAGGTGTAACTTAGTGGAACATGTCTGGGCTTATGCGAGTTTTCTGCTACAGAGGGTCAGATGTTCTAAGTATTCTAAGTTCTAAGTCAAATGTGTTGGCGAAGTTATTGCCGAACATAGGGAGGGGTGTGTGTAGGGTGCAAGGCGAGTTTTGCAAAATCAAATTGCGGACCACCTGTGTTTTTTGAAGATTGGTCGTGGAATCTCTGCGAAATCTTTGCCGAACATGGGGAATCTAGGGTCCAAGGCCGGTTTTGCGAAAACTCGTAGAACCCTGCGTTTTTTCAAGACTGTTTACACAAACTTTAAGGATTTTGCAGGAACCGAAAAATGAATCGAGTAGGGCCCTGATAGGCTGCAATGCTTCTGCAAACCCTAGGCCCTCCCATCCTATGCAAAATACGTATTCCTTTGAATCACATTCCGTCAACGAAGACATCTTATAAGCATAGGGATACGTATGCTCACATATATGCATTGTACATGTTTACATCTGCAGGACAGTTACGCACCCAAGACAAGTGATCCGGCAGATAGCCGCAGCAGCACGTGAGAAACTGCCGTCACTCCATGTCGCTTCGCCGACCGGAGCTTAAGCAGCTAGGGGCTAACAATAACAAGCGCCAATGCATACCGAAGGAGCAACTGCACATGATGTGTAGTTGCTGAGCCAGCAAGCAGGAAAAGCTTTGAAGCTCTGGCAATGGATGGAAACATGATGGCCCGAATTGCTCAAGGTCCTCACAACCCTTTCCGGCCGAAAAGCAGGATTTTACATGTTGTCTGCAGGTGAAGCCTTCTACACGTTTGGTGGGAAGTCGACTCCAGGGTGGTCTCCTCAGGCTTGTACTCTCAGCAAGATGATCGTTCAGTGTTGTCGCCGGGCAAGGATTCCGAGCTGGTGCGTTGTTGCCGCGAGAATCTGACTGAGCCACGGTGTGGAAGAGAATATACCAAGTGGATTGCCATTACTCTCATCTGAGCCTCGTGTTGATGATGGCCGGCCGGCGTAGGTAATCTGAGCGGTTGGCTCAACTTTGCTCCACCAGAATGTGGGCCGCCTCATTACTCTGTCAGAGGCAAAGGTGCTCTACGACGAGCAGGCCCAGGAGACTACATCCCGATGCAGGCCAAAGAATAGCCTGAAGGACTGACCGACGACTCCGTTGCTGACCTCGCTGGCGCAGCAACAACGAGCCTGGATTTGGTCCTTGGAGTGTCCGCAGGGCATCGTGTAGTGAAGTGATACAGGGGGCCGGGCTAACGGCTAACGGCTAACGACGTGCTCGAAGCGAGACAAACGACCCGATCATGCGACAAGCAGTTCGGTTGCATCGTTCTTTCCCGAGGCTGCTGCGTGGCACCGCCTTTATCTTGAATGCTTGGTTTGAGTCTCTTTCCACACAGCCATGCATCCGTCTGGAACTGCCAGGTGGAGGAGCCTCCTTCGATGCACAGAACCTCAAGGGACAGTGTGGTTCTTGGCGACGGTCGTATAGTCTTGTCGGCAAGGTGCTTCGCCTCTAAGCCTTCCAAGGACACCGTTGCACCTGGCCTGTGGCAATGGGGCCCTTGCTCTAGCCAGGCTGTTCTGGGCACCCGTGGGAGAATCGGACCCTGAAGTCTCCTCAGGCTGCTCCTTTCCGCGCGGGCTGACCCAAGGTTCGTCAGAGACTTCTGTGTTGCCTCGTAGTACTTGGGACTCCATCTTGCAAGGCTTGGCGACCTTTCCGAAAACCAGGCCCACTGCGACAAGTGCCCTTGTTGTCCAAAAGCCCGAAAGCTTTCGGATCCGGCTGTCGGTTGCCCAAGCTTAGTGAGAGGCTACGTGCTTGTTATCGGCCATTGTGAGAATCTGCGTCGGATCGCTTTTCACCTACTGAACCAGCAAGCCGTGCTGTCACCTTCCATGCTCGTTGGGCGGCCGAGAGACATGCACCCATGCAAAGAAACCGAGGGAATGAGAATTTAGACACACACACACACACACACACACACACACACACACACACACACACACACACACACACACACACACACACACACACACACACACACACACACACACACACACACACACACACACACACACACACACACACACACACACACACACCCACACAACACACACACACACACACACACACACACACACACACACACACACACACACACACACACACACACACACACACACACACACACACACACACACACACACACACACACACACACACACACACACACACACACACACACACTTGACACATCGTGTCGCAGGTCTGATCTGTCGGTGCATACTGTCAGGGAAAGTCAGCAGCTGTCAGGGAAAGTCAGAGGCTGCACGGGAAAGTCAGAACATGCAATCTGAAGTACTACCATAGGACACACACGAATCACTCATGTAAGACTGACATGTGCAGACCCTCACTCATGACTGTCGCATTCACAGGCAAACTCTTGAACAGAAACTGAGCAAGAAACTGACCAATGCAAGCCCTCACTCATGACTGTCGCATTCACAGATAAGCTCTCAAGCTGCCACATGCGTGACCCATGGCCCATGAGCAGCTTTGTGCAGGTACAGGTTCACACGTCTGTGAGCCCATCCAGTCAACATCCATAGCTTCGTTGGCGTGGCTAGGATGCGACTGCCACGCCCCCTGCTGCTTAACTCACTCACATCTCTTGGAAACAGAGTTGGACACACACAAGCCCCGAGGGGCTCCTTGCAATGTTGACAGTCGTTGCGCGCTGTTTTATCTCACCGATTTTTCATGGGAAAGTCTTATGCTCAAGAGATCTGGGAAAGTGGGCTACGAAACTTCCGGAAACGCAGTCTGTGCACTAAGTGCAATTCGACTTCGGCTTCTTCCGCATCAGCATCGAAGTACATGCAACACTGAGTTGCAGTTTGGTACGCAGCATTGGCCAATGACACGATACTCACTCGCAAATGCTCCTGTACTAGCTCTACCAGGACTCTACCACAGCTCTCATCCACCTTTTTGACGGGCTGCCCAACATGGTGCAAGCCACGGCATTGATTTGGACAAAACGGATGGTGGTATGCAAAGACTGAAAGCCCATGGTCAACTCAACCGAGGAGGACAGCCGAAATTCCTGTATCCCACGTCGCAGGAACGTGTACGCCACCATGGTGTCGGTTATGGGTTGTGCCTCTTCTGGGTCATCATTTCGATCGAGGCGAGTAATGAATGTGATTCTGGCTCTGATCGGCAACACGTACATCAAGATGTTCTCGAGCACGTCAGAAGCGGCCCAATCCATGTTGTTCAGGATCTACACAACTTTCAGAGTGCTTGATACAAAACTCTGTTGCATGTCTGATGAAAGCAGCTCACAACACCGCAGCACTTGCACATCTCTGACATGTCACTCTGCACATTTCTTGCACTGCACTTGCACGAACCTCGCACGTCCCTTGCACATCACTTGCAATCCGCTTGCACATCCCTTGCTCGTCACTTCTCTTGACATGACACAGAGGTGGACTCTTTTTATACCGTCACAACGAAATCGACTGGTTCAAGGGTTTGGGCAGTCGTTACAGGTTCAGTAAACCGAAGATGGCGAAAGTTTTGTACAAGCTGAAAGGTGTGCAACCTAGGCCACCAGCCGAACTTCTCCCAGAGCTGCATCGCGACGAGGTATTTGGCAACGTTGATGGAATCGTTGATTGATAGCTGGATGTGGAGAGTAATAGTCTCGTGTCCGGTTGCCCGACTGCATACACGAACCCACATCCGAAAAATGTAGTCGCGGCTCGTACTCCAAGGCAGATTGGCTTCACGGGCCTTGCGCTTCATGTTGGGCAACCTACACAGTTTCACTGGATGCCAAATGCTGCAACTCAAGACGGTTCATGCAGAAAGCTGATAATGCACAGCACGGCAGACGCGCACTCTTCAGTTTCTTTCACTGTCTTTGTGCAATCTCTCACTTTCGGTCTAGAACGTACTGCACAAGTTTCAAAGTGGACGAAAAACGCTTCCTAGGGCCTTGCTTTTCTTTGGCAATGCGTTCTCCATGCTGTCGCAAGAAATCGAGAATGAACTGAGCTCTGTTGTGAATGAAGAAATCGTCACCAAGCACTCTCGTGCCTTCCATTCTGCGGCGAAATTGGGTACTGGGTGCAGGACGAATCTTGATGCGCACACCATCAGGCCCTTCATCAATCATACGAAGTTTGCGTTTCCGCGGTGGGTCCGTCTGCAACATGTTGGTGTGCTCTGCAGCGGGCTGCTTCGGCTTTGGGACATTAACTAATCGACCAGAGGACAAAAACGTAGACTGTCGGTCAATGGATGATGACGCATTAATACTCTCATGATCAAGAGCAAAATCAGCCGAATCAGGATCGCTGGCCAAAGGAACACCTGATGCCACATCTGCACGTCGATCACGTTCTTGGTCCGATACTGCAAGGTCTGACGAGAAGTCGGAAGAGTGCACGTCCGATACAGAGGCAACATCGCTCTCGAAACTGGACACCGACATGATGGAAAGCTACTTGTACGTTCCGAATCTGTCTTGCACTGCAGAGTACCTTGAGGACGTGAAGCAAGACAATGTCTGCAAACGCTCCCAACACATGGTGCCGGCAGATCGCTTGTATCACCCTTGCACATCACTTGCACATCACTTGCACGTCCCTTGCACATCCCTTGCAACACCCTTGCAGTGACACTGGCGCACAGACGCTTCTTTGTAACTGCTCACGTTTCACTCTGAGACTTCAATCTCTGCTGGGAGCGTTGGGGGCAACTCTGTTGTTTCTTGTAGTTGAAGAGAATTAACACAATGGGAAGTCACAGATTGAAGAGAATGCAAATCCGTCAGCAAGTTGCCCACCACTTCGTTGGTCTTCTGAAGTTTCTGAAACAGTTCTGTGATGGCAGACATGACTTCTGCCACCTGAGTCTCAGTGTCCCTGATTTGTGTGGTGAGCACGTCGAGTTGGGCTTGTTGGATCTTTTGGACGGAGAAAGCTTCTTCGCGAAAGTGACGGAATTCACCTCTGATTGTGATCAGCTCCTGTTGTGTGTAGGAAATCCAGCGTTGAAGAGGTGCCAACGGGTCGCACGCTGAGTTGCTCGACATTAGTGCAATGGGACGACACTTGAGCAGGGTGCTGCAACACTGTTCTGGTATGCAATACAACATGAATGAAGTGATACTCACAGCACTTGCATCCAATGCACATTCTTTCCTCACTGCAGCACTCACATGCGTCACAGATACAAGCGAAACCCTGTCACTCCGGACATACTTAGCTGAGATCAGACGATTGACTGCGTCGAAATCGGCGTGATTCACGCCTTCTGGTAGGCATGGGTTTGGATCTGATCGGAGTACCTGACGTAGCTGAAGATGTAGGTGCAGCCGACGACGAAGCGGTACTCGACACCAAAGGAGGTTCAGACACACGATGCCCCAAGCTTCCTGGTGGTGCCGGGGGGGGAAAGACGGGAGCACTGGCACTGGGTGGGGGGAAACTGGGAAGGGGAAGAGGAGGAGGGAGGGGAGGGGGAGGGAGAGGGGGAGGGCCAGGGGGAGGCAGGGGGGGAGGTGTGGCACTGGAAGATGGGTTGTCACTCCCTGCACTCGGCGCACTCCTCATTGCTGGCAGAGGAATTGGAGCATAGGGATGGGATCTGCAATTGCCACTGGACGAACGTGATCCTGAAGCTCCACTACTGCTAGGACGTTCTTCACGTAGGTTTGCTCTATCCCTCTCATCCAAACGACGCAACTCTTGCTGCAGCATTCTTTCTGTCCCGTCACGCACAAAAGCTGTCAATTGAAGTACAAGAGCTTGACGAAGTTGAGGTCGTGATACAAAGTTGAGCAATCTCACACGCGCTGAATGAGTGAGCGTTCTCAAGAACTCATCGATGCTAGGATCCGAAGGTGGCACCGTCGGCATGCTTGCTTGCACAGATGATCTCGTCTCTTAGCCAAAAACACTGCGATGCTGACATTTGCAAGTCTCTCACACATGGCGAACTCAGATCAAGACATGTTGCATGCACGTCCGCTGTCAACTGTCAACTGATAACAGACCACTTTTACCGTTTCATCAAAGCTTCACACAAGCGAAATGGATAACCAAGGTTCGCTAACCATCGTACAAAAGTATGGACAGCTACTTCCGCTTGGCACGTTGGCCAAGTGTACTTACGGATGAGAGAAATTCTCGACTTCGCACCTGACACCAGCAATCGATCGCTACCTGCACTCATGGGATGTCGAACTTGCCAAAGGAACTTGGGCTGGAGATAGTAAATCGTTCGGTTTCGGACATCGATATCAAATCCCAAAAAGTGACCATCACCGACAGCTTCAAGTACAATCGGAGAACCATAAAAGGTTTCTTGGCTGAAGACTTGAAAAGGCACTGTTTTATGCACTTCGGTGGGTGCAATCACCAGTCTATTGTCCACATATCTTGCAAGAAAAGTGGAAGGGAAACTCGAGATCTGCGGGAACGTTGCTGCCCAACCAAGCTCAGTCATCACCACTGGAAGGGAAGAGAGGACAGGGCTGATTTGGTTACCTATGGACGTGCCATCAACTTGCTTCCACACTCGATTCATCGCCACAAACAAGCCGCACTCGAAGCTGAGACGAACAATGGTGACCAAGTCGTATGGATCAATGGTCTTCCAATCGAAGTGCCGACGTATATTGGAAATCTTCCCATGAATGGAACGAAAA